AGTCTGTGCAGATATCAGGATCATTTAGTAAAGAAATGTATATTAAGTGTGGTGTCCCACAAGGAACTGTCTTAGGTCCGCTGTTATTCAATATATATTTAAATGATATTTTCCAAATTATTGTGTTGGCAAAATAACTAGTTTTGCAGATGATACTGCAATATTATATGAAGGCACTAACTGGTCTGATCTGAAAATGTAATTGAAAATGATTTTATCAAAATTATTCGGTGGTTTAACAGTAGAAAATTAAGCATTGACTACTCTAAAACACTTTTTTTACCATTTGGATCTTATGCTAGAGCAAGTAATATACAAGCAAATGTACAAAATACTCAGCCTCCAAAAAGAACTTTGAACTCATTTATTTTGGATAAAGTCGAGCAATGTGAAGTATACACCACTGTTATGTCCTTAAAAAATCGGAAAAGCCTGGGTTCGATGGTATTAAAAGCGAGCATTTGAAAATTATAGCCGAGGACATAACAGAACCACTCACTTACCTAATCAACAAATGCTTTGAATCTGGCATATATCCCTCAATTTTAAAAAAAGGTAGCATATACCGATACATAAATCAGGAACAAAAACAGATGTTAACAACTATAGACCAATATCAATAATATCCAGTGTAGCAAAGGTTTTTGAAAAGTTTTATCTGCTAGAATGATTCGATGCCTCACAAAATTCAAAATTTTAAGTGAAAATCAATATGGATTTACAGAAGGGAAGGCTACATCGGACGCAATAACTAAAATTGTAAATCAAATACATCAAATATTGATCTGCATTTTTGTTGATTTAAAGAAAGCTTTTGACACAGTTAATCACAAATTATTATTAGAAGCATTGGAGAGAATTGGTTTCAGAGGAAACGCGTACTCACTGATCGAAAATTATTTGTCAAATCGCCCACAATCTGTGCAGATATCAGGATCATTTAGTAAAGAAATGTATATTAAGTGTGGTGTCCCACAAGGAACTGTCTTAGGTCCGCTGTTATTCAATATATATTTAAATGATATTTTCCAAATTAATTGTGTTGGCAAAATAACTAGTTTTGCAGATGATACTGCAATATTATATGAAAGCACTGACTGGTCTGATCTGAAAAATGTAATTGAAAATGATTTTATCAAAATTATTCGGTGGTTAACAGTAGAAAATTAAGCATTAACTACTCTAAAACACATTTTTTACCATTTGGATCTTATGCTAGACATCTGCCCAATTACACAAATTTCTCCTTCAACATTAAAGATCAAAAAATGCAAATTAATAGAGTGCCCACATAAAATACCTTGGAGTAGTCTTGGATCCTCACTTACGATGGGACATCCATGTCAATTATATTTTAAAGAAAGTTAGATTTGTATCCTACAAATTTAAATACATTGGGGATATATTGACAGAAAAATATCTACGAACATTATACCATGCACTGATTGAGCCTCATCTCACATATGGTAGGTATATTAGCATGGGGAGCTGCATGTTCCTCACATATCTATAATTTAGAGGTTTTTCAAAAAAGTATTCTAAAAATGATATTTAAAAAACCGAAACCTTATCCCACTGAAAAATTATACGCAGATGTTCGAATGTATGATATAAGACAGCTTTATTTCTTACACAGTATCACTCACTACCATAAATTTGTAAACACCGACCAAAAAATTAAACATAATCATTATACCAGGTACAAAATTCGTGGCACAGTAGTTCCTCAACCGCATAAATCTATATGTATAATGCAGCGATCATATCTCTATTTAGCGCCTAAATTTTATGAAATTATACCTAAAGACTTAAAAGATTTACGTTTCGGAAATTGTTTCAAAAGAAATTTAAAAAAGTGGCTACATTCTATATCTAGGACTGAAATTCATAAACTCATAAATACGAACATCAACTAAATACATAATCTACTGTTGCTAATTTTTGTCCTTTTTTGTCATTTGCATTCTACAGTTTCAACTTAAATTATTGGTCCATGTACAGGCGATGCCTTCTATTGGGCTTGTTTTGATTTTATATTTATTTACTCATATTGTTTGTTATCTTTGTACATTGAGTGAATAAATATTATTATTATTATTATTATTATATGTTTCAAAAACTTAGTTGACACGATTCGATCTACTGGACGCTATTAATTTTTCAGATATTGGTGAAGGATGCCAACAGTTTCCCAGACAGGACAAACGCCGCACCACAACATAATGAAATAATAGCCAATCTGCTATTTTTCCAAAAAAGTCCAAATTGGAAGGTTTACAGATCGAAAATATCGCCAGCATTCACCTCTGGTAAACTGAAGCTCATGTTCCACAGTATAAACGAGGTTAGTCGCTAGTTGCGAAAAGAGATACTTAAATATTTTCCAAACTGTGTATTACAATAAAGTATAATTCTCATCCATCATTATACAGAGTGTTTCAGTTTATTGTTGCATAACTTTACGATTCGATAGGACCTTTAAAATGAATGCATAAAGTCTATATAAACGTGGGTCGAAAAATGCGTGGCTTCCGAAATACAGGTGTTTAAATTTACTTTCTAAAATAGTTTTTTTTAAATATTTCGAACAATATTTGATGTATAACAGTGAAAATTGGTATACAAGGGTTTTTTGGTACGACAAAACGAACCATGGGCATAGTTTTACTGTAGCCGCTAGAGGGCGCTCTCTACTGTACCTGTAGTGTATTAAAATGACCGAAAAATTTTTCTTCGTGCAATTTTTTGATTTTTGAATAAAACTACTGATTCTTCGCACTTTTCAACATAAAAAAGCTCTCTTGTGAATTTTCGTTATAGTTATCCGTTTTTGAGATATTTCGATTTTTAGGGTTCGATGCATTTTTAATTATTTATGATAAAATAACGTTAAAAAGTCAGTATCTCGATAATTTTTGGAAGTAGGCTGTTGAAACCTGAAACGTTTCTTTGCAATTGTGAATGCACGAAATTTAGTTTCTTTTACCTGTTTTTTTTTTTGTAAGTTTTATAAAAATGCCATTTTTATTCTCCAATCAAGAGTTAGCGGATATTCATTTTGTGTATGGCTTTGTAAATGGAATCGCAGCAGAAGCAGCCTGAGAATACGCACGAAGATTTCCAAACAGACGACATCCAACTCGCTCAGTATTTGTAAGAGTGCATCGCCAAATAATTGAAAATGGTTTTGGAAATCTCCAAAGGGATCAAAACATAAGTGTTCGTCAGCGCAGATTTACCCGTATGATTCTGCGTGAGTTTGATAGAGATCCGACCACAAGTGTTAGGAGAGTTTCTGGTGCCTTGGGAATTTCAGCAAGCCATGTTCACCGTGTTCTTAGAATGACCATAGACGTCCTTACCATTTGCAACCTGTGCAAGGACTACAGCTAGGGGACGGAGAACGAAGAATCACATTTTGTCAGTGGATTCTTGATAGAACTGATAATAATAGGGAGTTTTTAAGTAACGTTTTAAGGACCGATGAGTCATGCTTCACTAGACGTGGAGTGGTAAATTTTCATAATCAACATATTTGGTCGCATGAAAATCCGCATGCAGTTCGGGAAAGAAATGTTCAGCATGAATTTAGTGTGAACGTGTGGATTGGTATCTACCGTAATCGACTATTTGGACCCTACCTTTTGCCTGCAAGGTTAAATGCTGCGACCTTCTTGGAATTTTTAAAGGCTGAACATGCAAATATGTGGGGTGATGTTATGTTAGATTTAAGAAGATTGGCCTGGTTCCAGCTTGATGGTTGTCCAGCTCATTATTCGAGAATAGTTAGAAACTGGATGGACGAAATTATCCAGAAAGATGGATCGGCCGTGGAGGACCAGTCACCTGGCCTCCACGATCCCCTGACCTAAATCCATTAGATTTCTTTGTGTGGGGATTTCTAAAAGAAAAAGTGTACCAGACTCCCGTAACCACAAGAGATATGCTAATAGACAGAATCAGGAATGAATGTGATGAAATAAGGCCTTATTTGAATAATGCTATACCACGTTCGATCATTCGTAGATGTGAATTGTGTATTGAACAATTGGGTTTACATTTCGAGCAACTACTTTAGATTTTGTATGTTTGTCCTAACTTTTAGTTGTGAATAATTAATTTAATTTGTTAAAAATAATATTGTAAAATTAAACAAATTAATATTCTGTTTTTTTGTGTTTATTTGGAGTTATCTGCTGTGTTTAAAAACACAATCTAAACGATCATCTTAATTACTTGTAATGCCAAATCGAAATGTAAAAAAAATATTATTTTCCCATAAATAATTAAAAATGCATCGAACCTTAGTTCTATCGAATCTTAAAGTTATGCAACAATAAACTGAAACACCCTGTATAGACTCCAAAGAAACATAATAACGGGTTTGAAATTTAGATTTAAAGAATAACTGAACCTTCAAACTTATTTCCAGATAAGCCAGAACTTGAATCGCTATATCGAAAAGCACCTCGGCGATATCGAAGCCAAGGAAGTGTGTGCGAAATTTTCAACTGAAGCTATCGCCAGGTGTGCGTTTGGGCTTAAAGCTCACTGCTTCGAAGATGAAAATGCCGCGTTCAGAAAAGTTGGCAGAAGACTGTTCGATTTCAGCTGGAGGAACGCCATTGTAAGTACTTATTTCTATTCTAATTTGTCCAATAGGGACGCAGGAAAGTAAACGTCAATTTGACATAGACGCCATCTTTGTTTTCTGTCACCGACATGTCATTTTGTTAGTTGAATGTTTACCATTGATCGCTATGGAGTCGTATTCGATTGAAGACCGCATTAAAGTTATTCAAGAGCACTACAAAAATGGTGCAAAAATAAAAAACACGTTCGCGCGCTTCGTGAACATTTCGGTCGCAACAACCGCCCAAACGAAACAACCATCGGTCGTCTGGTGCGTAAATTCGAGGCAACAGGTTCTGTGGAAACGATGCGTCATCATTTTGTAGCATTCGCCCTATTGGATTCAAAATGGCGGCGGTTTATTCAATCTGTATTGTCACGCAAACCTAACGTGTGTTCAAAATTTTAGCTTGATTGATTTTTTTTTCGTTTTCAGATACAAAGCGCTTACTTCTTCCGGCCGGACTGGGTGTCCTGGTTTCACCTTGATTTTTTCGATAAACAGGTGTCTGACTACATGATCGAAGTTTTTCAAGCGTGATGAAACAGAGAGAAGACACAAATACTAAAGGAAACGATTTTCTGGATATGCTAATTGAGTTGAAGAAAAATCAGGATCTCAAAGAAAAATATTCGTTTGGTAAGCATTTTTACATGTCTGAATGTGTCACAAAAAATGTTAAAATCCTTCCTACGAAAGGCATTTGTACAATATAAATAAAACTATGCGGCGCGTGATGGAAACATCCAGGAGAACAATCTACAGAAGCTTGCGATGCATCGGCTGCATATTAAGGGCGTTTACCGTAAACTAACATCCAATCGACAAAATGGTTATTACTTTAGGATTGTACCAGTTTCGTTTTCCTTTTCAAATTCTATTCATTAACAAACACCTTGGTTTAACCACACAGCACGCGGAATCTGGGTTGGATGCTGACACAAGTCATATCTCTTTACCTAATCCTTTGCTTGAGGCTGGACTTAAGACCGCATACAAATAGACAGTCTTTAAGGGATGAAACTTAATCAATTCTAATGAAGTTAATATACTAAGTGACATATAAATCCGAACACCCAGTTTAAAAGGTTTTATTTTAATAAAAGTTGGTGAATGTATTTATCTTACTGTAAATAACAAGTGAAAAAATTTTCAGCCTTATCAGTTGGACATTCCGGTTTTTATACTGTTTTTTTTTAATTCACTAACACTCTAAAAATGAATATTTCAGCCGCAGTAAAGAATCAACCTTTTTCGGATTTTGGTTCTTGACATCCTTTACGATGCCTAGAGTACGGAGACCTGTACGTATTCGTCAACTTAGTGAGTTTGATAGGGGCCGTATAGTGGGACTTCGGGAAGCTGGATTTTCTTTTCGGGCAATTGCAGTTAGAGTGCAAAGAATTGTAGACACTGTGGTTAAGTGTGTTGTCAGGCATGGCTTCGAGAAGGCCGTACGCAAAGAGCAAGGGGCACTGGACGCCGCCGTAGAACAACAGACCGTGAAGATCGCCGCCTAAGATTATTGGCCATAAGGGACCGTTTCTCCACTACCATGTCCATTGCAAATGTATGGTTTGCAGAACACGGAAGACCTATTGGCATGCGAAGTGTTTTACCGACGAATGAGAAGTTTTGGCTTGTTTTCATACCGGCCACACTGGGTCCTCCCTTTAACTCGAGAACACCGACGTAATCGCCTTGAGTGGTGCAGACAACGGTCACTCTGGGATCAGGAATGGAACAGTATTGTCTTTAGTGACGAGTCTCGATTTTGTTTAGGCATGCACGATGGTCGTGCCAGGGTTAGAAGGCGACGTGGTGAAAGGAGGAATCCACAGTTTTTTGTTGAAAGACATGTTCATCACACTGTTGGAGTTATGGTTTGGGGTGCTATAGCTTATGGTTCCAGGTCACCTTTAATCTTCATCAGAGGTAACATGAACGCGCAGCGTTATATCCACGAAGTTCTAGAACCCCATCTTTTACCCTATCTTGACACCCTGGTAGATCCAACTTTCCAACAAGATAATGCCCGACCACATGTTGCAAGAGTCACAATAGACTTCTTTCAACATAATGATGTCACATTGTTACCATGGCCACCAAGATCTCCCGACTTATCCCCAATTGAGCACGTGTGGGATATGATGGGTAGGCGATTGCTCAATTTGCAACGTCCTCCTCAGACTCTAGAAGCACTTCGAGAGGAGTTGGTGGTTGCCTGGAATGAGATACCACAGGAGGACATTGACCACCTGATCAGAAGCATGCCTAGGCGCGTTGGAGAATGCGTAGCACATCAGGGTGCATCCACACATTATTAAAGGTCAAAGGGCTTTAAAGCAGTGCAATCATTTTGAAATTTTTATCATTTACTTATTATGCTTCATTAAGTACTTATACAAAATTTTATTCAAATAAAACCATTTAAACTGGGTGTTCGGATTTATATATCACTTAGTATATTTGTATTTGCAGAAGGAAACAAAGTAATAGCCCAGGCATTCCAATTTTTCTTGGCTGGTTTTGAAACAACCAGTTCATTGATATCATTTACGTTGTACGAATTGTGCAAGAATCCTAAGTATCAAAATACAGTGAGAGAAGAAATAAAGACCACTATAGACAAAGATGGAGGTATCACCTACGAAAATGTGATGGGGATGAAATATCTGGATATGTGTGTTCAAGGTAGGTTTCAAATAAATAGATAACAATTCTGCACACACAACCTCGCGTTCGTGTGTTAAATGTTTCCAGCCGAGTTTTTCATATTGACGTATGTCGGATACTCCAATTAACCCGGTGCAAATTAACTTTTTTGAACGAAAAAGATCCTTGATTACTGACTACAAAGTTTACGGTCCTCAAGCTTTGAGCGATTTGACGTCTGAAAAATCCTAAAAATGATCAGTTTGGAACAGAATATCTCGTACTAGTACAAGTTACAAGTAAATTCGCTTGTAATTATAACCCCACACTTTTTATGGGATAGACGCCAAAGAGACAATGAAGAATCTAGCGCCATCTATGACACATTAGCAAAAACAATCTAACTTTTCGAATAATGTTGATCTCTTTAAGTGTTGTTACTGCCATCTGGCCATTTTTTGTACCGTTTTTTTTGTATCAAACTAGAATCACTTGTAGCAAATGTATATGAAATAACTGGTACTTTTATGGAACACAAACGCCCATCTTGCGAATATGGTCTTGTAATTTGTATTAGTATATCATGTTTGAAAGGTACATGGAACACCATATCTCGTATTAGTACAAGTTACAAGTAAATTCGCTTGTAATTATCACCCCATACCTTTTATCGGTATTTCACCTGAAGGTACCCGATTGTTATAGGAATCAAAGAGGCGTCAAAAAGACAATAAAAAATCTAGCGCCATCTGCGATGCAGTAGCAAAACCTTTGCACCTCTGTTTGCTTTTAAACTCCTTACTCAGCAAGACATCGTCAATATAATCTCGCACATTAAGTCTACGGCATGTGGCTCTGATGGTCTAACTTTAAATATGGTTTGCTTATGTTTGCCTGATACCATAGACCATATAACTCACATTATTAATGTCTGTCTTGGAATAGGTTACTTTCCTGCCAGTTGGAAAAATGGTATTATAGCTAAAACTAATCATCCAGAACAGTATTCGGATCTCAGGCCAATTACCTTATTATGCCTTCTATCAAAAATACTCGAAAGAGCTGTCTACTCACAACTAGTGGAGTTTTTCGAACAAAATCACTTATTTCCTCTACATCAGTCAGGTTTCAGGGCTGGTTACTTCGTCTTTATTACATCTTACTTTACACAATTTAGATAATAACATCAACACCTTCTTGGTACTGTTAGATTTCTCGAAAGCCTTTGACATGGTCAATCACCAAATACTACTAAGTTATCTCATTATGGAATGTCAGATATAGTTCAAAGGTTCTTTGAGTCATACTTGCTAGATCGTCAACAAACAGTGAAAACTGATCAAGGAATTTCCTCCACTGAGCCAGCTCCTTCAGGAGTTCCACAGCGTTCAGTATTAGGTCTCTTACTATATCTGATTTATACGATCGATCTGCAAGACTGTTTAGTCCACTGTTGTATGCAAACTTATGCAGATGATCCTCAGTTAGTGTTTGGTTTCGATCTATCAAAGGTTGATGAAGTTTCTTTTAAAGTTAATTTAGATTTGGCTAATATCAGTGATTACAGTAACAAACACTGCTTGAAGATCAATCCTAATAAAACTACTGCAATGTTGTACTGTTCGAAGAACTCCTACCGTGAAATGAAGCAGAGGATTTGTGTGTGTTTTGGATGAGACACTCATCCCTTTCGTGGATTACGCCAAGAATCTCGGTGTTACCCTTGACTTAAATATGAGATTCGATCGGCATGTCTCTTTCTTATCTAGAGTAACGTATATGCGTTTGAAACTCCTCTATTCTAATCGATTCATCGTGAATTTTAAAACCCGAAAAAAGCTCGCCGAAAGTCTTGTGTTGTCTGTCATTTCTTACTCTCTTGTTCTATATTACCCACGTTTAGACTACGTCCACAAAAGAAAACTCCAGAAGATTCAGAACAGCTGTTGTAGGTTTATTTTGGATCGCATCTGAGATAAAATCAAAGAACTCAACTGGTTGCGAATTGATAAGTTACTTTTATATCTTTTGACCGTCTTCACGCATGAAGTTCTATTATCTAACAGACTAGCTTACCTTGCTAGCAAATTAGTTCACCGTGGTAATTTTGTTACCAGAGCTCTTAGATTTAATGCTAATTTTAACATGCCTCCTCACAATACCTCGGTCTTTGAAAGAGGTTACACCTATAATGCTGTCAAGCATTACAATGCAGTCTACAGTGGATATCGATCCAAACAGGTTGCTTCTTTTAAGAAATTAATGAAAAGTCAGCTGCTGCAGTCCATTTAGTTCAGTTTTTCTTGTGTTCATGTGCTTTTTTTGACTATTTTCTACTATTTTTGTTCCAAATTTAAAACTCTCACGATACTTTCTGCATTTGTCTCGTGCAATGTTGTCATGCTTATGAACTGTATTTTTTTTGATTTTTGTGTTATTATTTTGTTTGTGTTTATTTTTTGTATTGTATTATTATTATTATTATTATTATTATTACACTTTCTTCTCAAATTAGATTTATAAATTCATTTTTTGTGTTCTGCTGAGGATGTTGAAAATAATGAAATCCAAGCGTCGGGCCACCAACTCTAGAGCTAATCGCCGCGTATTTACACATTTAATTGGGCAATTACATTTTACATCATCAAACGATTATTTGCCCATATTCTTGATGATTACATGCCACTAAAAACAAATAGTACTAAATTATATATACATTTTTGCGGTGCAGTAATTTCCACAAATATTCATACATGTGTGTGTAATCATAATAAAATGACAATGGACCAAGGTTCTAAACATGTGAAACGGAAAGCGAGTTTCTTCCAGTCCAGAGGTATGCTATTATACGAAGCACAAAGCAAACCTTCAGCACATAGAAAATGAATGACCGCACGCTGATTATATTTGGATTGCTAACAATAAACGCCTTTTCTAGATCACAATACTTAAAATCGCAGTCAAATACAAATGACAGAAACTGATCGGTGTGACGTTTAAGCATCCCACAAACCGGCGCGAAATAATCGCGGCGAAGTATTCGCAACGAAATTCGCAATCTGTTTCGCCTGTTTATTCATACCAAAGCGTCTTATTCGCTCCGCGAACGTGAAGGTTTCGACAGGTTGCGTACATTTTATTTTTGCCTTTTGCAATGAGCTCGTTTTCAGAAGAAGAGGAGGCACTTCTATTTCTTGCTTTAGAAGAGGAACAAAATGCACGGTAAGTTATGTTTATTTAACGCCATTTGATAGTTGGGTATGTATTAAGTTTAACGAAGTACATAAAACAAATATTTTCAATTTTGTTTAGGAAACGAAGGAAGTGGGTACATGATATTAACTTGGAACGAAATAAATTTGGGGAATACCATACCTTGATGCCACAACTTCGGCTGGATGAACAGCGTTTTTACGTATATTTTAGAATGACTCCAGAGTGTTTCGATGAAATATTGAACTTGGTGAAAGATGAAATACGAAAATCTGACACAAATTATCGTGCAGCTATTTCGCCAGAAGAACGACTTGCTATTACACTCAGGTAAAAAAATTATATGTATTAAAATTAGTAGGCTTATCGAATACGAAACTTCAGGGATCGTGAAACAAATATTTTATTGTAATAATTGGACTACATGTTGCCACTAGGATTAAATGTTGCTAAATAATTCGAGGCAGAATTTGCCTCCTCTGTTGGGTATATTATTGGAGTAAACCCAGTGCCGCTTGGGAAGGACGACATACTACTATCATACATACTTGCAGAATTCTGGGTAGACGCTGAAGACATTTCTTCAATATGTTCAAATTCTTCGTGCGCTATTAATTCGGCTATTTTTAGTTTTATTCGGACTTGACGCTTCAAGGGAAGTGTTTTCACAGTCTGTGCATGTGCCAAGAAAAGTGAATCAATGGCCTCGTTCTCTTTTTTAGGTTTTTTACCTTCAAATAATTAATGAGCTGTTGTACAGACGAAGATGGTGGTTCATAGCGTTTTCTGCTCGTTTTATATTTTGGTGTAATTGCAATCTGCGGAAAGGTGTGCCCTGGAGTAGTAACTGCTGTAGTGTTCAATGAAGAAGGTGGTGCTGTCTGTGTTGCCGAGGCGTTCTGTGCATCTTCTGCATCTACATCAGCATTTTCATCTTCTCCATGGCCGCGGTCTTCCAAATTTTCGGTTTCTACATTTCCAGCCCTTTCCTGATATATATTTGAGTTAAATTCGGCAGTCTCATAATGTATGACGTCAATATCTTTCACATTAGACGACGTTTTGGCAAATGCCAAAAAAGGACGGAAAAATTCCATGTAGTCAGCCCTCTGCCATTTTTTATGTTGCCCACTGCTTGGCCGGTCTTTGGTTTGGTAGATTTTATATATTTTGCAAATGTGTCTCTGATATTCTTCCACCTTTATTTTACTTCATCACCTAAAAACGATTTTTTTATAGATTCCTTGCCACTGGTGACACCTTCTATACCATTAGGCATAGCTTTCGAGTTGGCTTTACAACAGTGAGTGCAATCGTAACCGAAGTCTGTGAAGCGATATGCAGACATATGGAGCATATATACGTATTTACCAGAACCAACAGAGAATATATGGAAAAAATGTGCTGAAGAATTTGAAAATAGATGGGGATTTCCCAATTGCATTGGCAGCGTGACCTAACAACAGTGGCTCCAATTACTGGTGCTATTTACATAAATATTCAATAGTACTTATGGCCATTGTTGGCCCGGACTATAAATTTATATGTGTTGATATTGGTGGTTTCGGAAAAAATAGTGATGGGGGTATTTTCGAAACCTCAAACATGGGAAAACGATTTGAACAAAATTTAATGAGTGTCCCTGCACCTAAATTTCTCCCTGGGCAAAATGAAATCTGCTCGTACGTCTTAATTGGTGATGAAGCATTTGCTTTAAAACCATACCTTATGAGACCATTTCCTTATAAGCAGACTTTAACAGACGTCAGAAAAGAGAAATACAATGTAAGACTTTGTCGAGCTAGAAGGGTCGTGGAAAATGCGTTTGGTATTTTGTCTCAAAAACGGCGAATATTTTACAGGCCATTAGAAACTAAAGTAGATACTACTATTCTAATTGTACGTACGGCATGTGTTTTACACAATTTTTTACGAAGTAAAAGTGGCGATGACAAATATTTTCAATTCTTAGATCCCCCAGAACCCGTGCTTGGAGCTTTTACTGATATAGCAAATGATCCTCGGCGGGCAGCAAGGCTAGCATTTTCTACTCGTGACAAATTCGTAAATTATTGTAATTCTGATATGCCTATGCCCAATATATAGAATGTTCGTTTTCACATTTGTGTAGACTGTAAATTATTTAACAAGTTAATAAAAAATATTAGGTACATACCATTTGTATTTAATTCTTTTCCTATTTCCATCCAAATCTTGTCTTTCTTTCTCACATTCCTGTATTCATCGTTCGACAAATCATACAAACAAGGATACTTTTTCACTATTTCTATCAATAATTCCGTTTTTGCCATTGCGAATTTTTGAAGAACGGCGTCAAAAACGCGGTCAAAGGCGAACTGAAATACGCCGCGATAAAAACGCTAGAACAATCACATTCGCTTCGCACAAGTCTGAGCCTGTCCGTAAACCGCCGCGTTTTAATCTGATCGCGAATTCATCGCCGCGAAATTTTCGCAGCCAAAGCGAATATTTCGCGCCGGTTTGTGGGATGCTTTAATCTGATCGCGAATTCATCGCCGCGAAATTTTCGCAGCCAAAGCGAATATTTCGCGCTGGTTTGTGGGATGCTTTAACATCACGAACTACATTGCAAAACGTCAGTTAAGCGATAAGAATTGTTTCCAAGGCTAACCTGACCAAAGATGAGTTTCAATTGAACAGGCCTCGTATTATATTTTGTTTGTTAATCAGTTAAGTGTGAACGGCCGATGGCTAGATTTCGCCGACAAAAAGTCATTCATTTATTTATATTACAGAAACTCTTCGAATGTATCCTGTGCTACCGTTCTTGGATCGGCGATGTAACGCAGAATACAAATTGCCAAACTCCGACTTAGTAGTAGAGAAAGGACTTCCAGTGTATATTCCTATGTTTGGACTGCATTTCGACGAGAAGTATTTCCCAGACCCGCTTAAATACAAACCAGAAAGATTTGAAAATGGCACAAACGTATACAACAAGGACGGAATTGTATTCATGCCTTTCGGTGAAGGACCCAGAATTTGTATAGGTTTGTACAATTTTTTTTTAATTGAATTTTTACCAATAACCGACAATCAAATTTTGAAAAGCTGAAAAAACTCTTTTGCTTTCTGACGTTGCAACGTGTTAGAATGAACATTTCCAACGCTCTGTTCTCGCAGCTTAGGAGACAAGGAGACTATGTTGAAAATAAAAAAAATGAGAAAAAACGTCTTGTATCTTTGTTAGACCGGAAACTTTTCAAATCACCCTCGTAAGTAAGCATAGTTAAAAACATCCATTAAATCAATAAATAATATATTGGCCATCTAGGTCTATGGCGATTTATCGTTTCCATATTAATCGCTAAGATATAATTGCCAATGAGAACGCTTGAAGAGATAATTGTACCGTTCAGTTTTAAAGTGAGCGCACTGTCGCCGCGCCTTGCGTATTTATTCCGTTCAAAGTAATCGCGATCGTTCTCGAACAGATCGCTCAACCGCAGTGTTGCCACTGCTTGTCTTTATTATGAAAATTTAGAAATGTACGGAAGCTTCTATGATTTTTACAACTTTGAAAATATGTTCTGAGCCACCAGAATTGCCTAGCTCGCGATCGACACTGAACTAAACTCGTTCTTAAAAATGCATTTTTTTCCGTTTATTTACTGTGATATCAACATAAAAATTGGGAAACGTGGTTTCTGGAGATGAAATATACGATTAATATCATATCAAATTTTCAACGTAGTAAGTAGAGGATACTTATCAGTTCATTTCTTATGCTTTGTTTCAGGTGAACGTTTTGGACTATTAGCTACGAGTTAGCGCTGGTACGCGTGCTGTCTGAATTTGAGGTGGTGAGGAATATAAAAACGCCCGACGTCATAGATTTCACTCCGAAGAGCTTTATACTACAATCTAAAATCGGCCTGCCGATGAAGATCAAGAAAATTACACCGACGCCTGCGTAATTGTATTTATTCAAAGAAATTACACATTGTGTACGTTATATAATCCCCTAATTGTGAAAAACGGCGATGAAATACATTTTAGTATTATGTTTAAAAGACTTTTGTTATTTTCAGTACCACTGTACCAATGTGGCTTATAGTTTCTGCTTGCGATGCCACGCAATGAGGATTCTCAACTAGCAAAGAGTTTCTGTTAAGCTGTAAAAGTTCTTTTTCGCTATTCTCTGAATAAAATACGACGTTGAGCACGGTTCACAGATTTTGAAAATATTCACAATGTTGAGGAAGGATCCACTCTCATTAGAGTTATATTTGTTTAAAGGAATTGTCCTGTATTTTGTGTTTCGTTTATGGACTGGGGCGTTAGAAAGTGTTATTAGGAATTTTGTGTAAAAAAAAATTAGAGATCTTTCGGTTTTGCTCTGAAGCATTACTTTTCAAGATAACATAAAACTAGAGAATAAAAACAGCAAAAATCACAATTTTAGATTTCATTTGTGTACTAATTTCCACCGAAGGCGCGTCACTATTAATTTTGCACGATCTCCTGAACAACCCCCAATAGAAATATCAGCTGCTTTAGAAAACATCTAGATAAGTCAACAAGTCGTAAGCTGGCTGGCGTATTTCTTATAGGTATTTGAAGATTTACATAAAATGTCCTTTATCGATTAGTGTATCATTATGGAACTATGAACAGTTAGACGCTAGCAAGCAAGTAGGAAATGGGGCGTGTCGCATTACTGTCACGTGACCAGGTATCTTAATGTTTATTGCACAATTTATCGCATACTTTGACAGCACACATGATGGAAACGTCACTTTTCTAACCTCACTTCTTCTGCTGATGAAATTCAAAACTGGAAGGCTGGCGAAAATCTATGAAAAGTGAACGTTCCCAGTTCTTTTTCCATTAACCTTTTAGTGTTCCAAATTTGTTTACTCGATAAGTTAGTAACCTTTTATTTGAATGTAAGTTAATGTAATAACACCGTGTTTACCATATGTCCTATACAGAATTTCAGAACCATGGCGTTGTCTCCAGAAGAAAAGTACAATTTGCTGTCAAGGAACTTGCAAGAAGTGCTTGGTGAAGACAAGATCAAATCAATTCTCAATGAAAGAGATTTGAAAATATACTGGGGTACTGCGACTACGGGCAAGCCCCACATTGCATACTTTGTGCCTATGTCAAAGATTGCAGATTTCTTAAGAGCTGGTGCTGAAGTGACTATCCTCTTCGCTGATCTACATGCTTATCTGGACAATATGAAGGCTCCGTGGGAGCTCCTTGCTCTTAGGGTGCAGTACTATGAGCATACCATTAAAGCTATGCTACAGTCTATTGGTGTTCCAATTGAGAAATTGAAGTTTGTCAAAGGCACAGATTACCAATTATCTAAAGAATATACTTTGGATGTGTACAGGTTGAGTTCTGTAATCACTGAGCATGATGCGAAAAAAGCTGGTGCGGAGGTAGTGAAGCAAGTGGATCATCCTTTGGTCAGTGGACTTTTGTACCCAGGTATATAATGATTGATTGCACGTTATGTACTCGTTATGTATTATTTTGTTCCATTTTAGGGCTACAGGCTTTAGATGAAGAATATTTGAAAGTAGATGCACAATTTGGTGGTGTAGATCAAAGAAAAGATTTTCACTTTTGCTGAAAAATACCTGCCACAACTCGGATACCAAAAACGAGCACATCTAATGAATCCAATGGGTATAATTTTCACTTACTATGATTTAAAGATTGACTCAGCGACCCTACCTTGTTGGCCCCAGCTTCATGGGGGCACCAAATGCCCAAAAACAATCTTGTCTGAGTTACTAGCCAACCTCCCATTCTTCAATTTTCCTCAATAGCAAAAAAGGAACCCCGATTCCACGCTGACCTGGAGCCCCTTTATAGTCAACGCCAAACAAAGTGGCGTGCACGTCATCAAGGTGGGTGTGTTGAAAAATTTACATTGTTGCCAAACTTTTTGTAAAATAATAAAATTTATTATTTACATATCTAGGTTTATAAGCAATATTAACCTCAAATGAGAACAAAAATAATAGTATAATAAAATTATAGATCTGTACTTGCATAATCATTAAGTATGACAATTATTGATCAGATGACACTATGAAACTACCATATTTAATTGATAGCTTAAAGGTACTGAATAAAAATCCAAATGGGGTCCTCCAAATTTTATGCATGGTATTTATTTTACAGAATTCATACAGAAAAATGCATTCTAAAATTAGGTAAGCTACTGGTGTAAGCTTTTTCTGTACAATAAAGTTAGTCGGAGTTTCTTTCTGCGCTATCTGAATCTTCATCACTCTCAAAGTTGATTATTAAAGGTTCGATGTCTGGTCGATCAAAAATTCGTTCTCTT